AGGAATAATATCTTTTTAAAGTCAATTGCATTTTTTCCAGTGATGTCAAACAATTTCTACATTTAAAAGACAGGTGCACTTACAGTATTGCAATGTAGCCTCTCAGCAAGCATATAACTTTCATTAACATTAATGAGTTTTATATATGCATGTGCATGCAGCAAAAGAAGAGAACGTGCCATTACTTGTAGTTATAGGAAAATCTATTTTTAGTTCTGAATCAGTGATCTGTGATTTGGCAAAAGCATATGAATGTTTAAAACCAGAGTGGGCACATCAGCAGAGACCTAAAGGTCTGAATAGCAAAGTCTCAAATCAGTTTCCATCTACGCGCACGCAAGGGACATTCCTATTCCTTTCATGTACAAGTTTTTTGCATATGCCTCCCATTACCTGCATGCAACAGTGAAAGTGCACACAGAAGTGCCTACATGTGTAAAAAGAAAAGCCTGTGATTTTCAGCATTTCCCCTCTAAGTCTCTGGTAGCTCAGATTTCCTCTATTCTAATTTAAACAGGGTGGAGACCTGCGTTCAGATATTACAACATGTGGGTATCACTTTTTGGAGCTGCATTGTGCTGTGGCGTCATGTTTGTTATCAACTGGTGGGCAGCTCTTATCACTTATGCCATTGAGCTCTTCCTCTATATTTATGTGACATACAAAAAGCCAGGTAAGACTGGAATACCTCATTACTGTTTTGTATTTGTTATGCAGCTACAGTATACCTCATAATTCTCCCTAAGTCTATAGCCTATGATTATTTCCTCTTCCATATAATCAATTTTTAAAAGAGGACTGGAGACTCCCAGGTACTAAAGTGAAATCCTATTCTAAGTATTGATTTTGGCAAAACAATGTTGATTTTTGGTAGCAATACCAGAAGAGTCCAAGGCCCAGGTTAAATATTAAGTTGCATCGGTTTAACTTCAGGTATAAATTTTAAACTGATTTAGTTAAAAATGTGCATCTTGGTGTGTGAATGCTCTTAAATCAACTTGAAGCTGGCTCATAAACAGCTTCAACAGATACTAGGCATAAACTAATGCAAGTGTCCACCCAAGACACTGCACTAGTTAAATCAGTTTCTAAACTAATACAACTTCTGTGTGTAGGCAACGGCCAAGAGCACTGAATAAATCTGGGACAAGGAGCAAACACCTTTTAAAGTCTCCAAAACATAGCTCCTTCTTAAAGATGCTTTTCCTTCTCTCTCGGAAATAGGAAGGAAATCCCATGAACACAAAATCCAATCCTCTTAGATGCTACAAACACTTATATTCATTCCCAAATCAAAGGCCTTATCCTGTCTTTCAGACTGCAGCTGCTACATCCTAGTGCTACGAAACCTCTGTGGGAGGTTTCTAAGAAACAGGCCCTTTCTGGCTCAAACATAAAAGCCTCCCAAAGAGGTGTTAGATTAAGATTGACAGTTTTGATTCATGCTGTTTCAGCAGCATCACCTGTACTAAGGGACAGCTTTCAACTTGGCACTGGACCCTGTGATACACTCCCATTTCAATTCTTAAATGTTAGGGGTACATCTTCACTGCAGAGTTCACAGTGGGGTGCCTCCCATCCACACTCATCTCAGAGTTTGGAGGTGCTTTCTACCAGAGCTAGCTTGTTCATGGGGCTGTAGATTAAAGCTCAAGTGAAGCTTTCACATAGACTGGTACCCTGCCTGCCTAACCAACAGAGCATCTGCTAGTGTCATTCCCAGAGTCATTTTCCCACTGGGATAGAATCACAGAGGTGCGTAATGTTTAGAGCACAAAGAATAATGAGAAATATCCCCAGAAGTCTCTACCCATTTGTGCGGCTACTGCAGCATCAGTGTTGAAACAATAATTTGAAGATGGCTTTGTAGCTACCCTAAGTTAGGATAACCTGAGTGCTTAAATGCAGGGGCTGATCACTAAGTGAACTCTGCAGTGTTAAATATTATTTGTGCAGGAATGCTCTAGGATAGTTCCTGCTCAGTGGTATTGATTTTTGGAGAATTTTCCTGTCTTTGCGGGAACTGCAGGAAGGCCACTGGAGGGTTATTAGCATTTGAGTGATTTTGCTTGTTTCCTTGCTGCATAATTGAGAATTCCAGCGCATGATGTTAAATCAAATCTGAGTCCAAATTTATATCTCAAGCCATGCAAGCTAGCCCAAGTCAGAGGTTCTGAATGGTAAGTGGGGAACGGAGTGTATTGAACTAATACTCAAGCAACAGATCTGACAGCTGTGCACTGATGAGACATCTGTATAAAACTCTCTCCATCTCACCAAGGCAGTAACTTCTACCACAGCTGAGTGATACTGTGAGATACATAATATTCCTTGCAACCATGGGGAAAGACAAAGAGAAAAGGAAATGTTCTGATCACATAGAATGCCATCTCTGCACTGGTGAATGCGGACTTGTTCCCAATTTTAAAACACAACAGAACAGAACCTGAAAATAATTTATTTCCAGTTTGACTTCATTCAACCAAATACAAGTATAAAAAATACAGCAAAAATATCAGGACAAAAAAGAAAAGAAAGAAAGATGTGGGTTTTGGAAAGCAATTTTTGATCCATTCAACTGAATGATTAAATTCTGGCAAGCCAAGAGTCTTGAGTAAAGCGCACACAACCAATCCCTGAGGGTTTGTACTTGGACTTCCAAGACAATGCTCAAAGTCCAACCCCCCAAAAAGTCTATGAATGACCCTCACGTAACTTGTGTTTTCAGGGACTTGGGGCACCTGCTTTCCATTCCTGATCTGATGTAGAAAACAGCAATAAGCAACCTTGCCACTGGACCTTTAGGAAGTACATTTTCAACTTCTACCCATCCAGATCTTGAGAGTTGCCTGACAGTTGTGCTTCTGCCACAGAAGAATTATGGGGCACTAGTCCTTCTACTCTCCCACTGGTCTAAGGGTGAGCAGCTATGGCTTACTACTAGGCCTGTGAGAAGTGGCTAGTATTCACTTCAGATTCGGATTCAGTCGATTCGAGGGACAGTGATTCGATCCATTGATTCGAATCACTGTCCCAAATCGATTCGGCCGAATCTGATTTGGCATTTCACCCACCACCAACTCGGCCAAATCTCCAAATCAAACAGGCCCCATCCCCTACCCACTCTCCCAGCCCACTGGGGGACTGTATGGGCCACCTTCTGCCAGGTCAACCCAGCTCCATCTATTAGTCCCCTCTGGGTCCAACCCTGCAGCCAGTGTCCCACCCATCTGACCGTTGAATTGTTGAGCTCATAGTCCCCTAGTTTTACCTTAAGAGTCTCATCGGACATTAAGTCAAAGTCCAACTAAATGATGTCCAACTCATCTCTTTTATCCAGGTGATGAGTAACCTGGTCATTGAAGGAGATGAGGTTAGTCAGAGATGACCTACCCACAACAAAGCACTGCTGGCTGTCATTCAGAATTTTGCCTTCTACTAGCTTATCGCATATGGACTCCTTGAAAAATTTTGCCTCGGATACATGGTACACAGTAGTAAAGAAGATATTGTAGTAAGGTTTCAATAGAAAAGCTAACTGACCTGTAGTTGGTTGACATGACTCAGTGGGTGATGCACTTTATTGTTGATTTTCTTTTTTGAAAGCAGGTCATTTTTAACTCACCGGAGCTTGTAATGTTCCTTCCTAATGGCTTCTTTAATTTGTTGAAGTTCCATATCAAATGCTTTACTCAGGGATGTCCATTCTTTGTGTGGGAGAAAGGAAGAGAGTTAATGGAACAGAGAGGAAAACATTTCTTAAGCAGAGGAAGAACATTTTTCATGCTTTCTTATAATGGGACAGGGCTTATTTGCCTGTTTGTATTTGTATCACATGACACAAGCATATTTTATTCCAGTAACCTAATTTTGTTCCATCACTTGTGTGGAGGAGGCGTGATAGAACACATTATGCTACGGCTCATAGATAACTTGATTGCTGACATTTGTAACAAAACTTAGAAAAAAAAATCTATGGCATAACATGCAATGTTTTTCTTTGTTATATGCAGAAGTAAATTGGGGCTCATCTGCACAGGCTCTTTACTATGTTAATGCCTTAGAAAGTGCACTGGCATTAACTACAGTGGAAGATCACGTGAAAAATTTCAGGTAAGGTTTGAAAGGAAATGCTGAGAAGCTCAGGATAAACACATCCTTGATCAAACACAGTCTCTTTTTCCTCCTGCAGACCCCAGTGCATTGTATTAACAGGAGCACCCATGACAAGACCTGCCCTGCTAGATATCACACATTCATTCACAAAGAGTAATGGACTCTGCATTTGCTGTGAAGTATACACGGTAAGGTCTTTGCATGTGAACTTTAAAAGTAAGGGCGAGCTGTATGTCCTCTAGTAATCTAGCACACAGTGCTCCCACTGGTGCCAGTGGCCTTCTGTGCAGAATATGGAAGAAATATGCAATGTCAATGAATTTTGAGATAAATCTAGACAAGAAAGATAGCTGATTTGGAGCCTACTGGTAAATGCCTCATAGAGATGCAATGGGAGAAGGGGGCAGCGCAGTTCTGAGAACAGAGCCCAGGAACTGAGATACTCAAGTTTTGTTCCTGGGTGCATCACTGACTTGCACTCTTAACCTTGTTCAACCTCACTGTGGTTCAGCTTGCCTGTCTACATAATGACAATAACCAAACTTATTCCATTTTGCAGAAAAATATCCTTTGCTAAGACCTTCTGAAGAAAGGAATAAACTAAGAAATAATATTGCTTATTGCATGATAAAAAGCTACCAGTCTATACACAGAAGAATGCAATAAAGAGGATAGGGATCAAATAGTCTTTCAACAAAGGCAGAATCAATAATAATGGTAGTTTAAATAGGACAAACTTTGTTAGAACAAATTGAGGAGTGGAACAAACTGCTATCAAAGGTTGAGGAAACACCCAGTGTAGAGCTGGTTAAGTCCAGGTAACATTTCTCAACTACCGACAGTGAAGTTCTACCAATAAAAATGAGTTTTTAAGTGTAGGACCCTGACCCTTGACCACTCTACTAAACGTGTCACTGACTTCACTGTGTGCAGAATTAGGTTTAGTTAAATGACACAACTTCATAAAGTCTGGCTTCAGCAAGTTTTCTGTTTTACTGAGTCCTTTCCTCTAATATTATCACTTCCCATGTAGCGCTAGGAGATTTCATTTAAGTCTATATACAGCACAAGTCTGTTGTGCTAGCATAAGCATTTGTATGTTTATCCTTTCTCCTGCAGTTTAAGCTAAATTTAGTTTAGAGGGTAGTAAAACAGTGACACAATGGACCTCTGTGATTTGTATAACTGTGGAAATAAGCTGGTGATAAAAACAGCTATGTGTTGTTATTGGGAATACTATAATGCCCATAAATATCATTTATAAGCACTTTCTTGCCACAGCTTGCTCTGATGGGGTTGCTGAGCTTACTGGCCTGTGGAGGCTACAAAGTAATATATAACTGTGCTGGACACTATGCTTATGGGTACCTTAAAATGTAGATAATAAGGAATGTTTTACATGGCATTAACATGATTTGCCTCATTCAGCTGGTTACATATGAAGTTGTGGGACCCAGTGCCATGAACATCAGAGAGTGTCCTCCACTCCCTTCTGCCAAAGGACAGCAGGTCTCTATTATCTTTTGGGGATGTGGTAACTGACTGTTCAGGGATGGATAGAAAAGAAAATCAGGCAATGATACATGGAGTTCATTTGAGCTCCTTTGTCTCCAAGCACAAAAAGGTTTGCAACTGGGAAGAAAAGGGGCACAATCTGAGCCTCTAACAAATGTAACTATTAGTGACAGACCCTTTAACAAAATGTAAAGTATTGATCCCAAAACTCAACATTATTGAGAAAAACCGAGGATCACATTTTTCTCTCAGTTACACCAGTTAGATCAGGCAAACTTCAATTAATTTTCTGTGGATTCAGAATATAGTGTCATGACAGTGAAGGAGAAAATCATTGGGACTCCAGCTTGGGGAGAACATGAAAAAAAAAGAGAAAAAGGCATGAAGAGGCCAGAAATATATGGGACACACAAAGCCTGGACTCCCAGGCTCTGAGCCAATTTAAAAGTCATGCACTTAACACGGGGCCCTCACAGGTTGCTGGGTTATTTAACATATCCTTTCGTAATGTTATTGCCTGGCTGGCTAGAAAAGTTTCTGATGGAACTGTTCTATCTAAAGCAAAATGCCTTGCTCCAACACATCCATTTTAACAAAATTTTGTTTCATGGGGAAAAGTTTCAATGAGACAGACATTTCTGGAAAGGAACATTTCATTTGTTTATTGCAAAACACCCTTTGGGCTAAAACTGTCTTTTAAATTCTATTACAGGGGTGGCCAAACTGCCAAGGAGGTATGTGCACCCCCTGTATATGTTACACAGCGGATTTGGGAGGAGGCAGGCAGCACAGCATCAGATAGGGCAGGAAGCAGAGCAGCAAGTCAGGCAGGAAGCAGAAAGCAGAGCAGTGGATAGGGCAGGGGAAGGGGACTGGAGTGGCAGTCAGGTAGGGTGTGGGCTAATTTTGGCATGATCACCAAAAAGGTTGGCTGCCACTGTTTTATTGCACTGCATTTTATTTACATGCAATATTTCAGTTTTATCAAAATTAAATGTCTTGATTGTCTCCATTTTTTTACCCGGAATATTGAGGAAAGGTTCACGATTCTTTGTTTTCATACTGTTATGGAATAGGGAGAAATATCAAACATGGAATTTCACATGGAACAGAAAATATAGTTTTTACCTGAGTATTTTTAATGTATGTTGCTTATTAGAAAACTAGCTTATTAGAAAACTACTACATATTAATTCCCTTTAAAAAGTGAGTGTTTTTAAGTAACACTTTTAAATAATGATATGTACAGAAGTTTTCCTACCATGAGTTCAAAGGAACCATCTGTTTTCCCACTAAGGTCTGGATGTAAGTGTAGAAGGGGAGGTTTTTCCACTAAAGCTGTCCCCACCTACAGTAGATTATTCTATATTAGAGGATCTATTACTTATTACTCTACTTGTCTGTTCCTTTGGCAACAGTATGGCAGCTTGCCATGCTCAAATACCCTGGAAGGAGGGGAAACAAATTAAGTAAAGGAAAAGATTCTGTGTAAAACCTTTTTATGAGTTCACCATATGGGAAAGTAATATGGACTAAAATAACAAACTGATTGTAACCACTTGGCTTTGTGCCACTCTTCAATCAGGTGTCTCACAAAGGAACCCAGATCTGGGCTCCACATGCTAAGTGGGTCTGTTTAGCCTCTAGTCCATTTTTCTAGCTCTGGGTATATAAGGATATCCTTCAAGGGCTCAGATCTCATCTGCCATTTTTTCTTGTACTCAAATTAAGCTCTCTATTTGGTAGACTGCTCTGTGCATATCCTGTCACAGTATCTGATGAAGTGAGGTCAGGCTTGCAAAAGCATATGCAACTCTGATTTAGTGAGTCTATAAGGTACATCTCCACCCTGCCTTCTGCCTCTCTCCATTCTTGCTTGAGGCATAGGATGCTACTCTTCAGCCTCCTGAGCTGCCCCATTCAGTCACTTAAATGTGCTTCCTCACAATTCCACCATACTTGCTGACAGTCTGGGATTCGAGTTTAACCCCTTATGGGGTCAACATGGAAAACACCACAAAATGCAAACCTAGGACCACAGAAACTTTGCTTGAAAGCATTATTACAGAATTAAAGAAGTTTAGAAACAACATTCCTGAATGCAACTGGCCCTAGCATAAATCTCACCCCTACTGAGTGTCCACTGACTGTCAATGTGAGCAGTCTACTTTACATATAGTAATTGTCAATCCTCTTTATTGAGAAGCACCCCACTCATAATTCTAGTCCGGGTGGCTAGAATACAACCTCACCAAATGAAGGAAATCAGCTGTGCTGGGATATGTCCTTTTCCCCACTTCCCTCCCTGGCCATCTAATCAGGGAAAAAACCATTATTCTATAGGAGTAAAACAATAATTGAGAGGCAATCCAAGTCACTGGCTCCAGATTGCAAGGATTGTCAGTGTGAGCAGAGTCATTGGCTCCAGACTGCAGCCTTGATGACTTGCCAGTGACTGTTTTTCAATGAGATGTCAAGCACCTTTCCTGGGCAGGGCAGCTGACTGGAAATCACTTCAACAGACTTGCCTTTGGCAAGTTCAGACACATGTTCAATACATAAATAATGAACTTCATTTTGTGCAGATATAGAGATAACCCACACCATCCCACCCTGTCATCCAAATGTTGATTCTGAGTCTTTGTAATGCTAATAAACTTTTGTATTAGACTACATTTGTTCACATAAATATCAATATCCCCAGGGCTGTACCACTGTGGAAGGTACTTTTTGTCCATTTCCTCCTCTCCTCTTCTGCTGAGTCAGTCAGTGATTCATCTAATCTGTGTCACATGACAAATGGAAGGTGGGTTTTGCCCAATTAAATTGTCAGCTGGACACAGAACTTAGTAACAAAGACATTTGTGTATCGAATTGGGTGTTGAAAACCCTTTGCCTGATTATTAATAGATGGTAGCTTAATGACTATGTTAAGATCTGTTGAGCCTTCCTGTAAGGTTGCTTATGCAGTCAAGTCAGGAAGAGAGTTTATTCACTCTGCGATGCTTCACCACATCTTAGATATTTTTCTAAGTTGTTACAATTCATAGTAGTCCTTCTTTCTGTCAGAATCACTATATTTAAGTAGCATTAACAGCCTCAGCCCTCTTGAACAGAATGTGAATTATGTTAGCAGTACGGTTCTTTTCAAAGGGTTGAATCTCTATGGACCCTTTTTGGAAATGTATTTTTCTGACTCTCAACATTTCCTCACGCAGCAGACTAGGTAACTCCTTCAAAATCACCGTGATGTATAATACAAAGTCTTCTTAATAATATTTTATTGTATCATGCAGGGACCACGCAAGCTGTGTGTTCAGGAGATGAACAGTGGCATGGCAAAAAAGCAGGCTTGGCTTACAAAGAACAAAAGAAAAGCCTTTTATGCTGCAGTGGCAGCTGACAGCTTTAGAGATGGAGTCAAAAGTCTCCTTCAAGTAAGCTTTTTATTTACAGAGCATACATAGGAGTGATACATCAAAGCATCCCTTTATGTAAAGCATTACTGTTTACTTTTTAAAAGGTCTTGTATATGTGGATAGTGTGTTATAAATGTAAAGGGTGTCCTGAGGATACCCCAGTTTACATTACAGGCTGCCTCATGAACAGATTTGGTTCTGGGCTATAGAACTATGGAACAAAGCCGATTGATTGTAACCTAAATGAACGAACTCCTATTACAAAAACGGAGATGCCTTTAGGGCACCATACAAATGCCTATGCAGCCAACACTCATGCACTACAAATGAATTCTGTTGGTTGGTATTATGCAGCATATTAAACATTAGAGTGTATTTTTATATTCCATGTAATAGAAGTCATCACATATAATATTTTGCAAACAATGAAGTCCATCAAACTCAATAAATGTTCTCAGCTTAATATCTTTCTATTTCTCCAGATACATTCCAGATTGCTTTCAACAGTCCAGTAAAATTAACTTAAACGTTTTTGAAGACAGCACTGTCAGAGGCTAAACTGGCTCTGCTTTTAGATTCCCTATTGTCCTCTCTCACACCTAAATATGTACGTGGTTAAACTTGTATGTCAGAGGCAAAAGTTGGGAAAGCTTCCACCCTTCTCACTCACAAAATGCTCTGTGGAAAAAAACACATCACTCTGGATACATCCAAAAGCCTTTTAATCGACTCCCTGGTACTAGTGATTCATTGATAACACATTGTGGATTTGAGCACATTTGCTGAATGGACAGTACTGATGAATGTCACAATGTGGTAATAAAGATCCTTTTGTTGCTTTAAAGCCCAACAGAATTCTTCACCCTGAGTTTGTGCACAACAGTTTTCTGATCAGGAGCCCTTTCTGATACTTCTAAGATCTCTTGATGATCTTTTCACTTTTTAATGTGCCCTGACCACAGTCAAATGCATGATTAAATATATATGTTTTCCTTTTCAGTAGCTGACAGGGTGGCAAAATCATCAGTTCAATACCAGAATAAATCGATATAAAATTGTTTTGCAAACAAGCTATGCATTTATATATATATATATTTCAGATGCATTACTATCATTCATAAAACATTTTTCCCATAGCTTTATCCATATCTTTTCTTGTTAGCCATAAAAATATGCAAGTACAATGCTTGGTCTATTGGTATAGTCTAATAAGAAGTTCCTAATACACAGTTTTGTTTTTAGTCTGCATTCATATCTTGTCAAATTAGATTAGATGGCACCAGGAGGTAGCCTACATTCGATAACTCCTGAATTTGGATCCAGATTTTAACATTCAGACTCCTTTCTGAAGTTGTACCTCATCTTACTTCCTTATTCATAGGTATTTGGAAATGACTTTTTACTTATTAAGCATCCTCAGCTATTTGGGACCATCTCCTCTGTGGGGTGGCACAAATTCCTGAACTATAGGAATTCATCTGTAGAGGAACTAAACTCCTCTGCATGTTTGAAGTTTTAAAACTTAATTTGTCTACCAGACATTCCAAACCAAGAGAACTGTTCCCAACTGCAAGAAGCTTTGGGCTATTACGTTAGAATGAGCACACAAACAGCAGACTGAACTCTCTCTTGATTTTAAGTTATTGAACCATTTTAATGAAAGCATGTCAGAAGAAATGCAAATGAATGCTAATTTAGCCAAACCACATTTCTATCATCTAAAAACCATTTACAGCTGGAATGATTTAGAGCTAATCTTTCTACTTTCTGCTTGGGTACGGGCATGAAGGACATTCACAAAATGCAATCTAATCTTAAGAGTCTCCAGAACATTACTTCAGTTATCTTTTGCCATTATTTCTCATTTACAGCAAGAGACTGTTTCCGCACCTTTTCATGCAATGTTTTAATATTGTTAGGCCTCAGGTTTGGGTAGAATGAAACCAAATACCTTGGTGCTCGGATTTAAAAAAGACTGGAGGAATGCCTCTGCCATGCAAGTTGAAAATTATGTAGGCGTTATACAGTAAGTTATGGTTCAATGTAATAATCTTATTTCCTACTGATGTTTATATTATTGATCCTTTGCACAGTATAAATGCTTCTAGTAACTAACAATGAAAGTATAAATCTAGGTAGTATAAAGGCTTATTGCATTAGCTTTTCATTTTGGGGATCTGTGTTCACTCATGAAGTGCCTAGGACCTAAAAGATATTTGTCCACAAGACAAACAAAAATATCACCCCTGGTTTGGCACAGCGAGCTGCATCTGTGAATGCCAAGCAGATTCAGTAGCTATGTGGTCTGGGACCAGGACAGGAAGCAGCTACTCTGAAACATGCTCCTCCAAGGAGCACCTGAATTTCTAACTGTAAATTGGCCTACAAGCTATTCATAGATCAACCAGAATTAAAACATGCTCTATCCCACAGTGGGGACAGAATGGGGTACAGTTGTGAAGTGGTTACCCAATGACAGTACCACTTCTACAGGAGACACCAAGAGGGAGGATAGAGCAAATCTAGAGAAGGCCTACCCTAAGGGATGGCCTGTTCCTCATGGCAAATATCACTGGAATCCCACATATTCACATTTTCTGAATTCTGAACCTTTTACTACCTGTGGTTTCTTTATCCATAACAAGCAGCATATGGCCCATAATGCTCCACAGTGACCATTAACAACGGTAGGTCTAAGTGTTTCACATGATGTAAAAGGCAACAGATGTTTTATATAATTTGAATCATTTTAATTTTATTTTTCAGTGATGCATTTGATTTTGAGCTAGGCCTAATTATTGTCAGAACTAGCCAAGGGTTCGATATATCTCAAGTCCTCCAGGTTCAAGGTAGGTAGTGATTTAATAACTCAACCTCAGTGCATTTCAATGCTGAATGCATGCTTGTTTTTAAAACTCTCATTTCCCCATGGTATCCAAACATATACACTTGACAAATCCTGCTAACTGATCTATTGTCTTAGGCCCCTAATATATAGCCATGTAAAAGCATGATAGGATCTGATCCCCAGTCCCAACAGTGCCCCCTAACATGCCGTACATACATGGGCAGGAGGTTTGATTGTGGAGTCAGGGATCAGATCCCAGTCGTACCATTACTACTTGTCAGTGCAAGAGGAGCCTGGGATCATAATCCTGGACACTCCCCTGTACCCGCAAAGTTGAAAGAGTCCATCCCAGCAGACAATCAGCTGATTGTCAACCTGGTCCCAGACTGTACCAGAGCATAGGGGATCAGAGGCACCTAGCAGGACTGGGGAAGGGGGAGCCAAAGGGCTCCCCGCCCCCCAGGAACTTTTGTTCCCTTTGTGAAAATACTAGTGCATAGTTCTGGTAGAAAGGAAAACGACCTATTTTGGTACAGTTATTCAAGGAGCTGTGCTATGAGGGTGAAGAAGCAATTGGGAAGGGGCACCTGGGATTGCATATGGGACAGCAGTTTCTGGGATCCACATACTTGCCTTGACTTGGTTGGTTTTTTTCTTTGTAATGTGAGTATCTCACCACCTCCACATGACATTTGGTGGGTTCCACATGACATCTATCAAAAGAGATTTGGTAACTCAGTAATTATTTTCTTATCTGAGAATTTGTCCACTCATGAGAAGACATTCAACCTAGCCACGGAGATCAGTCCTGGTGTTTCCAAGAAAGAATTATTTCTCTTTTTCTGCTGTACATGACTTGGATTAAATCTATACAAAAATGAATATACATACAGCAGAATAATGACTCTCTGCTGCCGCCTGCTGCAGGTTTGCCACTCATTTTTTCTCTGCAGTTTTCTGTTACTACACACTCCAAAATGTATTAACTGTAGTAAAAGGAGAAGGCTGGGATAGAAGAATCTTAATATAAACCAGACAAAAATAAAATTAAGTGCCCACTGGGGAAGATGGGCTTTAGTGCAAGGTAGCATCCAGGAACAAGACACCTGTAAGAATATTCAAGAGGTTTTTTTACCCCTTAAATATCTTTTTAAAAGAATTAGAGTAAATAAGCACACAGCTTCCAAACACACTGGTGTGCATGGAACAGTACAGCAGTGCACCATGGAGAAACAGGAAAACAGGAAACATTTCAAACTAGCCAATGCCATCTTCCCTGTTGATACCCCAAGGAGAAGCACCTTTATTTTTAGTTCCTGGTAATGGAAACCGTCAAGAAACCACTGTTATTTTCAACCTCTTTGTGCAGGTGCATTCTGTATGACTCCAGTTCAATAATAATAAATACCAACACCACGTCCTAATCAATTAGCAAATGTTCAAAGTGTTAAAAATATAAATGAACCAAGAATAACTAGAAATGATAACTAAGCCTAAAATTCCCAGCATCAGCAGCGATAATACATAAACTATATTAGGCTATGAAACAGAGAAAGAACCATTCTGTTCCACTTAAATTCAGTACATCACTATTTAAAAGGACAATTGATTTTTTTTATTTGAATAACTCCATGTTATTGGTTATCATAGTGTCCTAATAAACACAGGCACTTTGCTGTCATACTGTAGTCTGAAGGAAATAATAGCAATTCAGAGAGGCAACAGAGCTAATAACGACCAGTAGCACTACACATGATTTGTAAATACGAGTGCATGTGAGTGTAATATACCAGCTAGAGATTACTCTTGTACCATATCTTACTCTAATCTGGTACACATCTTATTCTAATATAAGTACCTTTCCTTACAAAAAAGAAAGCTCATTATGGACCAACACATATACCATGCTAGTTATGATACCCCCAAATCATATATTTAAAAAAAGGGGGGGGGGTTCTTAGTAGAAGTCTATTTTCCCCAAGACAAAAGGAATATTTCATATTATTCTATTTACAGAATTGTTTAATTAAATCTGCCTCTACAGCTTCAAAATACATCAAAATATGAGAAAATATTCAGGTAATTTGTATATTCTGTGGTCCTTTATTCAATGTCTACATCCAAATATTTTTGAGCATCTCTAAGTAGGAGACAGTATGGTCCTGTGCTTAGAGCAGGGGATGAAGAAGCAGAAGACCAGGCTGTCTCTCTCAGTTTAGGGCCTGATCCACAACCACTTCAAGTCATTAAGACAATTGTAGTGATTTCACTACACTATGGATTGGGCCCTTAGGCAATGACACAACACAGTACCTCAGTTTCATGATGCAGAAGACAACAACTTGCCTAAAATGCTTTGGTCTCTGTGAAAGGAAAAAAAAATTATTTTACTATAAATACAGTGAGACTTCTGCAACTGATCTTGTGGATTTTCAAAATAAAAAAAAAGAATGCATTAATCTCATATAGAAATGCAATTGCTATGGATGTATGTGGTACAGTCTAAACTAGACATATAAACATATCAGTTCTGTTTTTGGATACCTAGTGGTCAACAAGGAGGATTCATTTCAGGAGAATTGTTACCCCAATAATTTTGTTGTACATTAATAGTCATTATAATAATGATAACTCTTAATGGTATTACAATTAGGCATTTAATTTAGTTTAAACTGTAAGTGATTTTTTTCTAATGTTGGTTTTGTTGGTTGGTTTTGTAATGATTTTGTCCAATGTCTAATGTTGTTTTCAATTATATAGAGGAATTAGAGAAGTTGGAACAAGAGAGGCTAGCACTAGAAACTACCATTAAAGATAATGACTTTGAAGAAGGAAGATATGGTATCCGTGGATTCTTCAACAAAGCCAGCAAGCTCAGCATTGCAAAACATGAAACTAGAAAGGGTAAGAGAAAAATATATACAATTATAACGTCTCCACCAATATAAAATTATGCCTTATTTCTAAAGCAAAAGCTTTGAAGGGACAACAGTCTCCATTGATTTCAGCAGCTACAGGTGCCATTCAAAATAAACAGAACACGTAAGGGAGATGGTCTAGTGAAGGAATGATAGGGGGTCTGCGCTAGTAGTACGGTTCCCGGTGTATAAATGTTTTGCTGAGATGGCTTTTTAACGAGGTTTATAGTGACCTCTGCTGGTAGAAGATGATATTACCTAGTACAGGACTCCTATTTGTTTCTTTTGGTTTTTTTTAGAACGCGTACCTTGCTTTTTTATAATTTTAAAATCGAATTAACAATCTAATTAACATGCAACATAGATCAACAATTTAGTTCTTACAGAGGTACCATTTCCCCGCAATGTTAGAAAAGAAATGATATGCATCCCCTCATTTTTGTACAATCAGACTCATGCTTTGTGGTACACTGGAAACTACACACACAAAGCAATAAGCACAGAGTGAAAAGATGAAAATATGAGTGCTAAAGATAACTATAGTTCAATGACCCAATGACACTATTATAATAAAGGAGAGAGAGAGAGAGAGAGTGTGTGTGAGTGTGTGTGCGTGTGTGTGTATGGACTGCAAGCAAATATACAGCGAACAATAAATCATCACAAAGTCTAAGTAGTATAGAGTGATGGGACCTAATGTATAAAATATATTCAGGCTGTAATCAAACCCATAAAAGGAGACAGAGTTAACTGATGCAAAATTTGTTTGTCATTTCAAAAAATGATGTAGCATAATTAGAAGATATACAGAGAAGGGCAACAAAGATGATCAGGGGGATGAAGCAGTTGCTGTATTAGAAACCTAAAAAGGCTAGGACTCTTCAACTGGTAAAGAAGGCTGAGCTGGGGGATATGATAGATCTATAAAATCATGAAGGATATGGATAAAACAAAGAGGTAACTGTTATTTACCAAGTCCCATAATACTAGAAATAGCATAAAATACTAGAAATTAGCATAAACAAGTTCAAAACAAATTGGGAAGGGTTTGGGGGTTTTGTTCTGTTTTTTTACACATGCCTTAGTTAACTAGGGGGCAGGGGGTTGGACTAGATGGCCCACTGTGATCCCTTCTGACCCTAAAATCCATTAATCTAAATCTATGAACTTGCAGAAGATACACTGAGGTTCAAAAAGGGATTCGTGGAAAACAAACCCATTGATAGGTACTTGGGGACATTCTCTGTTGTTTCCAGATCAATGATGGATAACGCCAGGGAGGGTCTGACAGGGGATGGATTACACCAGACATGCTATGTACATATACTGCCCTGCTAAAGAACCTATCACTTGCTACTTTCGGAGACAGGTTGCTAGATGGGCTAGGCGAAACATTGCTCTGATCCAGTATGGCACTTATTCACAATTGCAAGGGTATTATAATAATGGTCCATTAGAAACTTTCTGCTCTTGCAAAGTATCTAAAAATACAGAGACTATATCTGTATGTTTCCCTTATATATCAAGAAATCCACAGACTGATAGCAGAAGATGTACTAGTTTTGTGCTTGGCAGTGTTCCATTCATTTTCCAAACTAGGGCGGAATTTACTTTTGCAATAAATGCTACCAAACTATGTACCTCCTGCTCCAATTAATCTTTTTCCTTTTTTTCAGTCCTGAAAGGTACAGAGAAAATACATAACACTTGCTCTGCACACATTTCATTCGCTCACCTTGTTGAATAGAAAAATACACGATGCTAGTAAACAGATTTGTAAACAAAATGGAAAGACAAGTATATCTTCCTTCCCCAGAGTTATTAGAATTCCCAACATAGGTGCCATAGCTACAAAGGAAAGCAGATAATTATATTAAAACTATCTTGTCAAAACTGGGAACACTGGAAGACTGAACAAAGCATCTTCTAAACTTAATAACATCAGAGAAAAACCTCTAAAGAAGCCTGTCTGCTACATTTTAAAAAATATTCTGACATTGTCTCTTTGAAATTACTGAAGAGAGTTAATAAAGTCAAATGCTTCAAAGGGTGGAATAAGAAATGGTATCATTTGTATATAGACAAAAATGTGCATTCTAGATACAGACATTTTTTCTAGATAGAGACAATTTTTCAACAACTATATTTTTATTATCACAAAGAACTTAAGTGGGAGAATATGTCCTCCAAACATATTTATGTTTCACTTCTGCGCTCACTAAATCTAGTTTGTTGCCCTTTATCATACTTCATAGTGTATTTATGGAAGTTCTATATTTTATAGCACACTAATGTGATTGAACTATAAAAAGTCAATAAATAAAATAGATTGTAATTTACTCTAGCATATTTCCTAATTATCTTCCAGCATTCCATGAATATCCAGGTTAGAGTACTTTATCTCATACACAAGTTGGATAACCTACACCTTGTTGCAATAAGGTCATGATAAGACAAAAACTTACACCTGGGAGCAACTTTAGTCATACACTGCAGTTCCTAGTAGTTCCTGTGGAAGTTATGCATTGATGTATTATGGTTCAGGGCATGATTTGTACAGTAAGCTTTGTAAGATTAGGGCCTTAGAATCAGGTTACTAAGTCAGCCCCGGTACCTCCAACAGATGTGATTAAAAGCATGCACAAAATGATATTAAAGTAAACATTTACACACATGCTGAACTTTAAACTAGAGAATCCAATGAGTCAAAGAAGGTTCATGTGGTGACAAATCAAAGCAGAGATCCTTATGGCATCCTTTATGTGTCCACATCTTTCTAACAAAGCATCACAATATGTTTTCATGAGATACTGACTCAAATACTTTCACTATGCTGTGACTGTGAGGATGTCTCCAGATTTGTTCTTTTGCTTTAATATATGGGCTGATTTAAAACAGAAGTATAAGTGTATTGCAGGTTTGTGAAATGTATCTTTTCAATGCCTTATCTATATAATGATTAATGGTGAAAAACAGAATAAGAAAGCAGAGGATAAGAAACTAATCCATAGCTTTTTCTCTCCATATTTAAAAGGTAGCATATATTTTTAATTCATAACAAGCTCTTGTGAGACTTGACAACCTTTCACTAATTTTTTATTCCATGTGAAATTAATTCCCAAAAAGAAATACAAAGGGAAAAAAAGCCAAAAACAAAAAACACCTACTCTCCAGATGCTTTTCCCTCTGCTTTTTCTCCTAAAATTATTTTGCTTCTATTTTTAAAAGGAAAGATACACATTTTTCTCTCTCATTCCAGACAGCAACATTAACACAATCCAGTCAATCCACATGGATGAATTTAATCAGAGGCTGCTAGAAGCCAACAGTCAGTTTAAAAAGAAGCACGGAAAAGGTACAATTGACGTCTGGTGGCTGTTTGATGATGGAGGTAAGGGATTCAAAAGAGCACTATAGGGAGAAAGGGTGTAGGTTGTAGCCGTGTTGGTCTAAGGACATAGGCAGACAAGGTTCCTTGGGTGAATCTGATATCTTTTATTAGACCAAATAGTTGGAGAACAGTTATTAAGCAAGCTTTCGGGTTCAAAAACCCTTCATCAGGCTAAGGAAGTTTCAGCAGTTGGTGTGTGCTCTTCCTGGATGGAATGAAAAGTAAAGAAGCCAGGGGCTGGGCTGGGGAGTCAGATGTCAGGCAGATTATAATGTGTCAAAAATCCAATGTCTATATTTAGTCCATGATTTTTAGTATCTGGGATTGCCACTTTACCAATCTTAAAAAGGCTTTCACCCAACAAGGACACTCCTCCAGAGAGATAGACTGCACATTTGAAAGAGCCACCCGGATACCACGTGAAGAACTGCTGCAGTACAGAACCCTCCCCCACCCCAAATCGCACACCGCTGGTTACAACATATCACCCCTCCCTTGAACCTGTACGAAAAATCCCCAAACAATTGCAACCCATACTAGAAAGAGACCCTATTCTTAAAAAGATCTTCCCAGAGCCACCCATCCTAGCCTTCAAACAAGCACCGAACCTCACTAACCTCATCACCAGAAGCAAGCTTCCTCAAGCCCAGAACACACCAAAAGGATCCAGACCGTGCCATGACAAGAAATGCAAAACCTGCCAACACATCTCCACCACCCCCACTATTACTACACCCCACAACAACAACTGCGCACCAGAATGAACGCACACCGGAAATCTATCAAAGACAGAAATACCCAATTACCGGTGGGGGCACATTTCTCACAAGAAAACCACTCTCTCTCCAATCTCTCAGTCCTGATCCTCAAAAGAAACTTACACAACACTCCCCAGAGATTAGCCTATGAACTCCATTTCATCAACCTCCTGGATACTAAAAATCATGGACTAAATATAGACATTGGATTTTTGACACATTATAATCTTCCTGACACCTGACTCCCCAGCCCAGCCCCTGGCTTCTTTACTTTTCATTCCATCCAGGAAGAGCACACACCAATTGCTGAAACTTCCTTAGCCAGATGAAGGGTTTTTGAACCCAAAAGCTTGCTTAATAACTATTCTCCAACTATTTGGGTTGGTCTAATAAAAGATATCAGATTCACCCAAGGAACCTTGTCTGCCTGTAGGGAGAAAGACTTCTATGTTGACAAGAATAACTACACTAGCCAACTGCCCATCAAGAATGCTGGGGGGGGGCAGGCAGGGACGGAGCACCACCACCACCTCCCAGGAGCAGGGGTAGGGGAAGCTTGCCCTGCCGTCCCCTCCGTCCCCCTCCACCAGCACCGTGCCACCGTTGCCTCCAACACTGCTAGCCTTGCCCCCACCCCACTCCGTCCCCTCCATCACGGCAGTGCTCCGCACTCTGATTGGTTGTTTCATTAACCAATCAGAGTGCTCCAAGAGCATTACGGACAGACAGACAGACGGACTAAGCCCTTTATTAATTAAGAATACTTGGGAACTTATGCAAATGATTGCATACTTTTTTTTTAACATGGCTTCAACATGTAGAGCGAAAATATATTTGTTGGTATCAAATAAAGGAGAGGACTTTGTTTTTACCATGTACTGTCTTTATTTGATCTTTGTGTGAATTAATGTTTTCCAGGTTTAACCATCCTAATTCCCTATATTCTTACTACCCAGAAAAAGTGGAAGGATTGTAAATTAAGGATCTTCACTGGAGGAAAGGTCAACCGGATTGAAGATGAAAAACTAGGGTAAACATAACTGATTTTTTCCCTGACAGCTTGAGACGCTTTGACTGCTTATGAATAGAATCTCTCATGAGCAGTAAGCTAAACATCTCTGAACGCGACCAACTTGTTTACTTTGGAAAGCAACGGGATCATAGGAAAGTGAGGCTGGAAGTGACCCTTTGAGGTCATCTAGTTCAGCCCATGGCTCAAGCCAGGATCATCCCTGAATAATAAAATTATATATTTTAGGCAACATTATCCAGAACTTGGCAAAGTCCTAAGGATCATCACTAATCAATCCAAATAACTATTAAAATAGAAAAGGATTACATACATGGGGTATGCTCCAACAGCCCATGTACCCTTCTTAGAGAATGATATTTTTCAATCAGTAAGGAGAAAAATGATTGTATTTTAGAGGGTTTATACACTTCTGCTTAGTTATAAAAAAAAACTTCAGTTGAAGTTCCCCAGACACACATGCTGTAGCTAGCCCATAAAAATGGGGTAATTCATGCATATAAACTTTTAAGAGTTTAAGACTAAGTCATTTTAATCAGCTTTCTAAACCATCAAGATCACCAAGCCATAGTTTGCCTTCAATCCATGTGCAAAAGGTGTCAGCTCATTTTCACCATCATTTCGATACCTTTCCTTATAAAGCCGTTTTTAGATGATAGACACAATCACTTAATCTGCCATGCAAAGACATACAATTTGCATACAATATAATACATTCAATTTTCAATGGAATTCAGCAACTGTTTAACAGAGAGCAGCAAAACTATTCACTCAAATTTCAAACAGCACTTAGAGAAAGAGGAAAAGAAACAAGAAAATAAGAGGAGTGTGTTGTTTTATATCCACTCCTTGACTTAACTAATCAGCAATAAACTTGTCATACAAATCTAAGCTAATCAAGCTATTTCGGCTACATGTTGGGAAGAAAGAAAGATAGGTACACTTACTATATTTCTGTTTGGAAACTTTTGAAGGTGTTCAGATAGTGTAGTAATGGGTCAGTAAATATAAACACATAGATTGACATAATCCCAAGTATTATATATCTGCCTTATGTGCCAACATCAAGTCTGTACTACCAACATTGTTTTTAGTGCACAGAACTCCTGTTGACAACTCTGACAGAAATCTTCGGCATGGCCCAGAGGAGACCATTCAGTTCTATCGCTCTTTGTACTTAGCAAGTCCTTCACAATTAAAAAAAAATAAAATAAAAAGTATTGGAATATCAATATTTTCTTAAAATATAAGCAGATTTTGCTCTCTCATTCTTTTGTTCCCTGTACCTTTTTGCCATTCCTATTGATCTTCAGCTAAATAAGAAAGTTAGTACATATCATGTCCATCAAATTCTGTAACTGAAAACAGAAACACTAAGTAAAGCTTTTAAACTACCTTGTAAAATTAAATATGAGACAATTGCTTTTGATGTCTTAACCAATTTATGAATGGTCTTTGATTCAAATACTTAAAAATGCAGTGATGAAGTGTTCTCCCTTTTGTTTTCAGGATGGCTTCACTTCTAAGCAAATTCAGAATAAAATTTGCTGACATTAATATAATTTGTGACATCAATATGAAACCTAACAAAGAGAGGTAAGAAACATTTCCAAAATCCATTATTTATCTGCAGTTCTTTGTCTAGGACTTGCTTCTTTTATACTGATCATAAAAAATATCAAAGGAAGAAAATGCCATGACCTTAATTACAATGATTTTCCAAAAAATCAAAAGCACTAAAGGAAAAGCCTTTAAAAATCACAGTACAAAGGCCAATATTGTAAAGCAGTCATCCACTTTATATTACAATAATAAGACTTAATTTTAATATGAAGGCTAATTAGAGACTCTCAGTTATGACCCACTGAATTTAACAGGCATTATTTTATAATTACTTTTTATATCCACTTTGGTTTCCACAGCCTTGACTTCACCAGACTGAAGTTCTTTTGTAGACCCATCTTCCTCTTACTTTCAGAGACCTTTAGATTTTACCCTGCCCAGGCATTCAGTAGCATTCCATCTTTTAACTAAACACATATACTCCTCCTTTCCCTAGAGCACTCTGCCATCACTTAAACATAATAAAGGCATGAATGCATATGTTCTCATATGTTATGAGGTGATATGTTTTATTAGACCAACTAAATAGTTGCAAAAACAATCTTTATTTGCAAACTTTTGGACTCACATGCCCTTCCTCAGGCAAAGGAGAATGCACAGATTGTAACATTTCTCCAAGGGGAACCTATAACATCTTTCTATTCTTCTGTGCAACATGAAGTTTCATTTCTACCTGACAGAAATGTTATAGTCTATGCATTCTCCTTTGCCTGAGGAAGGGCACGTGAGCCCAAAAGCTTGCAAATAAAGACATTTTTGCAACTATTTAGTTGATCTAATAAAAGATATTGCCTCTACCAAGAGTTCTGAATACTTTTGCCTGTAGACCAACATGGCTAAAATCTATATCCATCATATGTTATGTGCATTTACTCTGAAGAGAAATGAGATAAAAAACAGAATTGGTAATAGTCAAGAATTTCCACCTCCAACCACTTTGGCCACAGATATTCCAAGAGCCATACCAATATTAAATGTTTTTGCTGTCCATGGCAAACTAGAAGACTTCTGGCCTTCACAACCTCTTCACATTTTTCTAGTATTATATTTTGCTGTTTCAGCTGACAGCTAATCCCAGTTCTGTAAGATAAATGTTCATTCTCTTTTCTTGGGGAGGAGAGGAAGGTGGGGGGGGCAGGAATCAAAAACAAGAACTGGATTTCTGTTGAATTTACCCAAAACTGAATGGAATCCACAAAGCTGTCTTCCCAAGTAATTTTAAGACTTAATTTCCAAAATGTAGCCCTACCTACTTAATCTACTCTCCTCATCTATGTTTAGAGAAAGATTGATCTACCCCTATCTGCAATGGGCATTTCAGTTCCTGGTACAAAAAATCTCTTAGATCATCAAGATGCTTCATGAAACTACATACCTTACCTTCCCTCGTTTTGCTCTCCAGCCTTTTTCCTGGGCTCTGCAGATATAATACTTTTTATTTTCTGTTCTACTCACCTATCTTTATTGATCTTCTGGTGCAACCATGGGCAAATCACTTAGCTGCATTGTGCCTCAGTATCCCCGTGTGTAAAATGATAACAACAATATTTAGCTTAAATCATTAATAGTCATTGCTTTTCATATATTTGGGTGAGATGCACTATAGAATATATTATACTTTTAAGAACAAAAGCAGGATGTACCAACCAACATAGCTGGTACCAACATTTCTGAAAAAACAGCAAAACCATTTAAACAGAAACAAGACTAAGAACTGTTTAGAAGATTGCTTCCCAGTAGTAACTGAGTAATGACGTTCCAGAAGCACCATACATTTGCAATGTAAATCAACAGAACTGCATTTGGTGTTTATAGGCAGAGCAAATGCACTAGAAAGATCAGCATCGATTGTAACACTTGCAACAGTGACGTACACCTTCCCCTAACCTGTGTATTAATCCCATTCATTTTATTAAGAGGTAAAAGGGGTATTATCATGTGTATAAAACACAGCAATTAGGGAATATCTCCAGAGTCACAAAATAAATTTATGGGACAGTTGGGTATTAAACCTAGATCTTAAGTCCCAACTCCAGAGCCTTCCCTATAAAACTTCCTGTTAAACACATCGTGTTAAATTTACACTATCTAGGTGCTATCTTCATTAAGGCTATGTTCAGATCAGTCACGTGACCAGTCTAATTAGTTCTACAAATCTCTGAATAAAAAACAGCATTGACAGGGTGTCCTGTATTCTTTTTTTTTATTTATTTATTAACTAAAATTTTGAAGTTTGCAATTATACTGCAATCCATTTCTGGATCTTAGACTACACTGAAACCAGGAAAGGCTTGTTGTACATTCTCAGTACGGATTGTGGTTCCAATGCAGCCCATAAATACATCTATGTAACCTCACTGCAGTGGTCTTGCATAGATGTGAGTGTGAGCACAATTTAGTTCATAACATTAAAAAGCTTTTGCACATCATTCAGCTACAGTTTTGCAGTCTGCAGGGCCTGTCACAGAGTATCTGTAAAATAATGAGTTAGTATCCTGCTGTGAGGCCTCCTTTGTAATTCCTGTTTCAGCTGGAAATTCTTTGAAGAGATGATTGAACCATATCGCCTCCATGAAAGCTGCAAAGATTTAACAACCGCTGAGAAATTAAAGAGAGAGGCTCCATGGAAAATTACAGATGCAGAGCTGGAAGCATTCAAGGAGAAGGTAAATTCTTCATATTGATGAAGCTAGAGAACGTATTTGAAAAACCAGCCTAAGAACATGAAACATGTGTCATCATTGAGTTTTAGGCATTGGCTTTGTCTTGTATTGCTATTCCACTGCAGTGGAAAGCTGTGGTGAGTTCTCACCTGGAGTCTTCAATATGTTGTTGGACTTTTTACTGGACAGGAAACGACATTTCTAGGAGATGTTTGAAGAAGCACTGCTTCATGGAGCAAAAGAACAAGAGGGTTGTACAGATGAGGGCAGGCTAGAGGTTGGGCCACAACATTCAAAGAGAACCATGATGTTTTAGATACTTAGTTACAGCACCCCAAAGTTTACTAAACTCAAGCTCCAGCACAACATGGTACAGAGAGAAAGCCACAACCAGGAAACCATACTTTCTAATGGAATCTGATTTTTTTTCCCCACAGAGTTACCGCCAGGTCCGTCTAAATGAACTGCTACAAGAACATTCAAGGGGTGCTAATCTCATTGTCCTGTAAGTTACATAATTTTGGTGCAGATAATGAACTAGGAAGAGAGCAGGGATTTCTAGATAAAAGCAACAGAAAGGCTGGGGTTAGTTTATTTGTAGTGGACCAGACCTCTGTCCAGAGGTAGCCAATTTACTACTTAACTCCCTTTTAAATCTGTTTTGAAGACTCTAGAGCAGAGGTGGCCAACTGTAGCATGGGTGCCACAACTGGCACAGGCAGTCACTGTATATAGCATGTGGCAGATTGGGGAGGGGACAGGCAGCACAGTGACAGATAGGACAGGGAGCTGAGAGCAGTGTTAAACTAGGCAGGGAGCACAGGACAAGAAGCAGGAAAAGGAGATCAGATAGGGGAAAGGGATCAGGGTAGCACTTGTGGTGGGTCTGAGACTAACTCATGGCACACCTGCCAAAAAGGTTGGCCCTCACTGCTGGAGAGGGACTCAAGCAGTGCAGAAACCTTGAATGGTTCTCAGGGTAGAGCTGGAGCCTTACTTAAGAGTCAGAGCCTTACTTAAGAGTTCTCAATGGGTACGAACACATATATATTTGGATCCCATTCAAAACCAGAAGGGCAGCAGCTGTTATGTTCTAATTGTTATGTGTGAACAAGCTAAGAATGATTCAAATTTAACAAAACGGCTCCAATTTTAGCCCTGGATAAAGCACAACATATTTCCTCTTTGTCTATTCAGAGATGTGGTTACTTACTCTGATGGCAAACATTTTTTATTTACTTTCATTATTATTAACAGTGTCAAGTCACCTGAGATATGTATTAGAGAAAGAAAGGATCCTTTTGTAGTTTATATGACATGAATAGACTTGTTAGCTTAGGTCCAGAATACTGGACCAGCCAACTTCAGCCTGCAAAATCGATCAAGGACAAAGAAACTGCTCATGCTTAGAGTAGAATTTGGTCTAAAGAACACTCAAGCAAACATCTAAGAGCAAGCAAGTTGTACTTTCTGTTCCCACACTGGTTCAAGAATGACAATTAGACAAACCTCTTACTTACGAACTAAACAAACGGAATCAACAAAATTAACACGCACAGAACCGCATGAAGGTTACTGTTAGCATCATTTTTCAGAGTAGAACCATAGCACAGTACGTGAACCAACTTTGGTTACTGTTTTACAGCATGCAGAGAAACTTCTACCTCTGTTATTGATTCAATTTCCTGAAAGGGAAATTTCATATACAGAATATTTGGAAAAACTAGCCTACACTGTAGAACCCACATATCACAGTAATAAGCTATTATGAAATAATTTAGAATAATTGATAAAATGCCAATGGCATGTACGATTTGTGCATTTTATACCTTCTCTCTTGATTTTTAGTCAAACTAGACATGAAGCTAATATGTGATTCTATGGCCTGCCTCCTGCAAGCATTCCTGTGCCTGCCTAGCCTTTCTGTTATGAGTAATCCCACTGATTCCAGTGGGACTATTCACATTAGTAAAGTTAAGCACCTATGTATTTGCAAGATACAGAGCGTTGGATCCACAGTTCATAAGATGAGCATTCTGAATGTTAACGATCAGGCTACATGACTGCTTTAAGTCGATGGTTTTCTACTTAAGATAGTACACACCAAGATGCATATTATCAGGGTTATCCTATATGGACAACATTAATTTCATTACTCTCTTTATGCCAACAGGAGTCTACCAGTGGCAAGAAAAGGAGTTGTATCTGATCACCTATATATGGCTTGGTTAGAAATTCTCTCCAAAAACCTCCCTCCAATCTTACTAGTTAGGGGAAACCATAAAAATGTACTAACTTTCTACTCTTAATAAAATGTACATGCATACATTCTAAGAGTTTGATTTCAGCACATGTATTTCTACAGGTCAGTGATAAGGTTAACCTAAAAGCTGTTTTCAAGCCATTGCCTGCCAACTATCTATTCTGGAAACCCCTTTGAGTTTGATGATCGGCTGCAGTCCAGACCTACCCTGAAATCTCTGCTGAGTTGCTGGGTCTGAGTTTGAGCTGGCCTTTTCCCACTTTCTATCCCTCCCTTTCTGCAATATATTTGGGCATCCAAGTCTTGAGTACAGAAGCAATTTCACAGATCCCCATTGGGGATGCATGTTGGCAGCAGGGGGCAAGCAATGGCTGTTAACCCCTACAGCCGTTACTCACCCCACTTCTACCCCCATGTCTGGATCTCACCTGCAAGGTCAATCTAGAATCCAGCCCAAGGAGCCAGCAAGTTTGATATCTGCTTGAAAAGGTTTAGACCCAGAATTGGAACTACTGATGAAAAAATGTCCTTCTAATGATAAATCTCCTCTCTCAAAATCCAGTTGTATATCACACACCTGTAACCAAATATGAAAAAGTACACTATTTAATTTTAGATGCCTTGGGAGTTTGCTACTGTAGAGACAATTAACAGTCCAATAGGAGCATCATAAATTATCTAAACAACTTTGAGAATGGTACTGACAAAGTAAAGGAGAACAGCACTGGCAAAAAAGGAGTTGATAATTTAATACGGCATAAGTATAACTTACTATATCTTGTTTAATTTTTCTAATTATATAATTGCTCAAATAACAGATTATATGATACATGCCCTGTGTCTGAGCACAACTGTGTTTTTGAACGTATGTGACTTAAAACTCTACCAAATATCTTTGCAGCTGTTGAAAATACATTATATGCACATTGGCTTCTGACTAGCTGATGAACAAGAATTTTGAAACTAACTTTTCAATCTGTCAAATTAAATGTATGACTGCAGTAATCACATGTGGTTATGAAAGAGATTTCAAAGAGAAGTTAATGAAATACTGTACTAAATCTATTATGTTTTGCTCCATTTGTGTTGTTTTACCCAAACATCTAATCTTGCATGATTCAGAAGATTGAATTTTACATTGATTTGGTAAACTGATAAGAAAATGTAAAATAAACTTGACTTTTAGTCCTAATTTGAATATCTTAATTTTCCTAATGTACACAGACTATTTCTGTTAAATATTTTAACTTGAAATAATGAAATAAAAGAGTTCATTAAATTGTGCCTTGTCATTTTTTTCTATTGCATGCCTGTAATAGTACAGTGCTACCTTAGCTCACTCTTCAGCATTAAAAATAGAAAGGAAATATGTACAATTCCCATTTAAATTATAAATCACTAAAAAGTGTGGTTTCTTTAACTACTACAGTTCTGTGACTCTTATGGAGAAAATCTGGCCTCAGCAAAGCCAGTGAGACAAGAATCTCCCATGCCAAAGAAATAGATCCTTAGCTGATGTAAGATGCAAGTCCATTGAATAATTTATGCCATCTGAAGGTTTACCCCTCATTATCCAAAGGCAGCACATTTAGTATTCACATTTCTCGAATTTCATATCAACAACGCTGCAGAACATGACAACTGAACCCAATGTTTCTATGTTTTCCTTTCTTCCATATATTAAAGGTAGTAAATAGAATATTGATATGGCCTCAGTGTTCACTTCCTTTGATTTTCAAACTACTTCCCTTTCTCAGGCAGTAATAACTAAGGCAGACCTGGACACAGGCGTAGGTGAACCGGGCAGCTACCTGGGGCCTGGACAGAAAGGGGGCCCAACATTTTTTTTTTTTTTTCTGTTGTCCGATTATTATCATTATCTCTGGCGAAGAGGAGCCTATACTAAAAGCTTGCCTGGGGCCAGGAGTCTAGGTACAGTACTGAACTAAAGTAAAGGAGCACTTTGTAGTTTAAATATGTGAGTTTTCTTGCTGTACCACAGATTGCCTGCATAAAGCTCTGGGTAAGCAACAAGCTTCAGATTCTACATCAGTAAAATAGGCAGGATGCTCCCATCTTTCACAGCAATTTAAGCACCAAAGCTGTACGCTATCCTCTGCAGGCAGACCCTTCTTGTCTTTGTGGAGCAGAGTAACTTTACTGCAGATTAGTCTGAAAGGACCTGCACAGAGAAGTGAGGATTAATTCATTGTTGCCAAATATTTTAATTCTAAATCTGTGAGAATAAACTCCCAAAAAGGTTTCTTAGGCCTTCTGCTTTAAATTTTTGCCTTCTGCTTTAAATGACAAATAGAGAAACCATGATCCTCTCTCAAATTGGTAGTATTATGACACACACAACTAAATCACCAAGAGTGAAATATTCAAAACATGTCCCAACTCATCAGGTACCGTGCAAGGAGTTATATGTGCCTTTACATACAATAGGATTTTAGAGGCTAGAGGAGACTAGAATGCATTTTGTCAAAACATAATTATACTTATATTTTGAAAAGGTCACTATTCTTTTCACATTCACTCACTTCAAACAGTGCAACACATGTTACTTGTGAAAGGTAAGTTTTAGCTAAATTTTTTAGTGTTCATATAAAAACTAAGTACTAACTGCACATTAGGTTATAAAATTCACTTTTTGCACTATATTGATTAATTACATCATTATCCACGCTGGAAAAAATTAACAATGCCATGTGATTTGTGCAATTAGCCAGAACAGCATAAACTTTTAAGTATCTAAAACTAACTGCTCATAAACAACCTACAGACCAAACTACACAAATTTATAAGTAACTTTAATAGATTCCAGTGCCCACACAAACCACTCCCAGCTCCCTGATATCAGTTGGGAAGTTGGTACACAAAGCAAAAATAATGTGGGCAATATCCTGCCTGCAAATTGTGCTAAAATAAATTGCGCTAAAATAAATTGCAACTTCATGTGAAAAAGTTTGCCAATTCAGCTGCCGCCTCACTGCACTGTTTACAGGATACTTTCATGCATACCAAATATAAAATGACTGCTGGATTGTAATAACTGTTAGCGGTTGAACTGTAGTTACAAATCTGACTTCTCCATACAAAGCAAGCTCTAGCACCAACTAACACCTTCAAGCACAATACAGCACTTATACTTGATAGCAAGTGCCAAAAAAATATTGTTCTTCAAAACTTCAGTCATCCAAAACTTTGCCCAGATAAGAGTATGCTAAAGAACCTCACACAATGATCCATTAACACATGCATCACCTTTCTTCCAATGTATTCCAGTGCTTTTGGGGTGTGGGGCGGGGGGGGGAAGAGCAGGGGACAGGACAGGTGGGAGGGGAGCATGACTGCTGTAAGCATTTGCAATGAATATGTGAATTCCATCAGCATAGTCAAAGAAAAATGATTGTTTAAATCCTATTATAATCCTGGATGTCATAGGTGATGCATGGGGGGGAGGGCATAGGGGAGCACGTGATCCCCTGTTCGAGTCCAGGCTCGCTGCCCCTGGCCCCCGCCCCACTGCGGTGGGCTTGACCCCATTCTCCACGCCCGCCGTGGCAGGACCAACTCCATTCGCCCCCACCGCCATAGGCCTAACCCCGTTCCCCTGCCCGGCACAATGGGTCCAACCCTGTCCCCTCCCACCACACCACCACCACTACCTCCAAGAAGCAGGGAGGCAGAGGGGAAACTTGCCCTGCCTCTGCCCCCCTCAGCCAGCAACCCATGCCGCTGGTCCTCTGGAGAGCAGGGCTAGGGTGGGGGCGAGGCTGGAGCCTGGGCTCTGGGTCAGGCCTGAAGTGGGGGGGCCAGGCTAGACGAGGATGGGGGGAGTGGGGGCGCAGGGCTGGAGCCTGGGCTCTGTCCCTGCTGACCCCACTTCATTCTTGACAGGCAATTTGCTAGATGTCTGTATGAGTAGTGTTTGGTGGCAGCATATAATCTTTGCAAGCTTCAACATCAGACATTTAATCCAGAACATGTTGTAGGCTGATATCTACAAAGGCTGCACCGGTCTTGGATTTTTTCTGAGGTTTTTCAACCAACCTTGATATGCATTGCAAGAGCAAAAACTTGGCCATAGCAACTTCACTTCGGCCAGAATCCTGCTTGTTCATCCGGGATCACTGGCTCGATAAAATGGCTGATTCTCCTGAGAGTGATATGTTCCAAGAGTTTATAAGTTGTGCAAAGGAGTGATATTGGCCTATAACTTCCCAGATCAACTGGTTTACCCAGTTTGAGTACTGCAATAACCACCACCTCCTGCCATGTTTTTGGCATGCATACAGATTCCATGGTTTTGGTGTAGTTTTGCCAACCACTGGAGTCCCTTGGGGCCTAGATGATGGGAGCATACCATCTCCACCAGCTGCCTTCCATTTCTTTGTTGCGGTTAACCCACCCTTCCCTTCATCTATACTAATGGCAGTGGGGGCTTGTATAGGGACTGATGTGATTATCCAGTGTAATTGACAACAGATCTCATTTGGTGTTTTAGTTGAGAGGTCCTTTTGTAGTGTCTACCAATTTAGAAGCTATGGAGCTGGGATGGAGTTTTGGGGTCTGATATGCTGCTGGATTAGCAGCTCCAAGGCATCCTAGTATGGCCCAGGCATGTCAACTAGAGTGTGTGAAGTCCAGACCTTCAACACACCCAATTTACCTTTAGCATCTGGCTGAATCTAGTGACTCTAGCAGGGCCTTCACAATCTGTGGGTTGCCTGACTGCACTGCTGGAGCAGGTCCTAGGTCTCTCTAACCCAGCAGTGAGTATATTCCTCCTGACAGCCCCCAGGGGATACTCTTCTTGCCAGCAGCAATCAAGACACCATTGAACCAGTAGTAACATTCTCGTGTTGCAGGGATTCAGGTCATCACTTTTTCAACAGGTTCCCTGTAGAAGACCCAGTCAGCTTTGGCTAGGTTCCACCATGCGATCTGTTTAGACAAAGCCATAGGGATCCAAAATGCTGAAGTAAGTAATGATGGGCCTATGCTGGCTGTTAGGAAAGTTAGAAAGTACACTGCAGGATGCATTGAGCATGCTCCCACTTAGATCATTGTACACGATGGTAAAATCTGAGTTATAGTCATGTTGCCAGCGAGCTGAATGGAAGGTTGCTCACCATTTGAGATCAAAGACCAATTACAGATCTTCCGGGGACATCCAGTCTGTAAGGTCTTTGCTGCTGGCTTTATTTGCTTCATAACCCCACTTAGTGTGGTGGCTGTTAAAGTCACCAATGTACAGGGCTGGTATTGGTGCACTTGGGAGTGCTGGCTTTGACCATTCTGAATTAAGAGCTTTGTAGTATACATTGGTAATGTGCAACTCCCTTATTTTGATGGCAGTGATGTAAGTTGCTTTTTCTTTAGTTGGAAGTAAGACATAGATTTAAAATCCATGATGGTGTTCTTCACTAGGGCTGCGTGAAGCTTCGGTCCCTAATTTGATTTGGCACAGATTCAGCCCAATTTGGTGGCCAAATCTCTGAATCCGAATCAAGTCAGAGGACCCTTTAATCTCTCCAGGTCGAATCGGAACCCTCCAAATCAATTCAGAGAGATTCGGACATAAACACAACTTTAAATGTTTTTTCTACATACCTCTAGGTTGCAGGCACTTGTGAGTGCTGCGATGCTGGAGCGGATGGAGTGTCCCACAGGAGTGTGGGGGACTCCTCAGCACACTCAGCAGCAAACCCAAAGTGGATCAAAAGCAGTTCCAGTCTACTTCTGGGTCCACTGGGGAGCACACTGGGAGGCCCCCTGTGCCCACCTGGCTCGGCGACTGGTGCCTCCTGGGTCTGGGGGGGCACTCAGGGTCTCCCTGCGGCCGATCGCCGTGCGGGCCCCCCTGCACTCCTATGGGACACTCCATGCACCCCAGCATTCACAAGCCACACTGGTACCTGGAGGTATGTAGAAAAAACTTTTAAAGCTGTGTCTATGTCCGAATCACTGATTCTCCAAATCAGCTTCGAATCTTTAGATTCGGATTCAGCCAAATCGAATCAGGGACAGTGATCTGAATCAACAAATTGAATCACTGTTCCTGATTCAGGCCAAATCTGAATCGAATAGGGCCCGCTTCACACACCCCTAATTCTTCATATATATGGCTAAGCCATATTTTGGATGGTAATGGTTAGTCATAAGCTTGTATCTTGCTAGGCCAGATGTGAAAGCACTTGTCCCTGTTCTAGGGTGGCTATCATAGAGGAAAGTCCAGTTGTCCTCTATCGATATGAAACCCGACGCCTTTATGTCCTCTATTTTTCTCTTCAAGATAAAACCCGACGCCTTCTCTCTTCAAGAGAAAAATAAAGGACATAAAGGTGTCGGGTTTCATATCACTAGAGGACAGAGTAGCAGAAAACAGGAATTTCATCTGTTCTGAGAAGGAACGGACAATTATGGAAGTTCTCTCACAATCCCATATTGTGACAATTTAAATGATTAAAGTAATCTTAAATGCTCTGAGACAGACTTTTTTTATGTGAAACTATGAAAATCAACTCTCTCAAACAGCAATTGTGTTCCACAACAAATCCTTCCTCCAATAGCAGAACACTAATGCAGAATTTCAATTATCATCCCCAACATCAATTCCATATCACTGTTTCTTTTTACTTACCCCAGAGCTGCCTCAACCCCCAATTTCAACATAAATTATCCTCCTATCACTTAGGTTATCTCCTGCTTATTTGCAGAAACCAGAAATAAACTCTCAACTGATAGCCACACTTAACTCTTATCTCAAATACCAGAACATGTGCCAAATGAGTTTATCCTTAGAGCAGCGATTCTCAACCTTTTTGGACTTGAAACACTTCTAAATAACTTTTACGAACTGAGTGGCACCCAGTTTCAAAAACTAATTTATGTATTAGTGTTTACCTCCATTCAGAAAGTCCAGGCAGTGGGGGTAGAGGACTGGCCAAGCAGGGACAAGCCTGAGCCTGCACTCATCTGCTTATCTCTTCACACCCCACATATCTCCTCACACCCCAAGGCAGGGTATCCTGGCCGAGAATCACTGCCTTAAAAGCAGTCAGAACTCATGGCAGAGGTGATATCTTTTATTAGACCAACTAGATATTTGCAAAAAAAATTCCTTATTTGCAAGCTTTAGGCATAGGCACCCTTCATCAGGCATAGGAGATTGCAAAGATTGTAAAAGTTCTCCTATGTAGAAATGAAAATAAATATTTCACAGGACAGCTGCTGGTCTGGTAAAGTCTCCTGTTTGGAACAGTTCATTTTGTGTAGATTAGGCTCAGAGAAAAGTTGGAAAAATCTTTTTACCTCAAAGTTGTCTGGTAGCAAGCAGGATGTAGAATCATATTTCCTTCTGGTTACGATGTTTCATATTTCACAGAAGACTGGAAAGATGGAATGTTCTTCTGGGCAGGCATGTCTTTTGTGGAGAGCTACCTCTGCGCTCTGTTAGAGTGCAAATTAGCTTGAACAAGGGCAGGAGCAGGGTCTCAGGTTTCAGATGGTAAATTTTGCTTCCTTATTGAAAAATGATGAAATGTTCATTTTAAAAAAGAGGCTAAAATTTGGTATCTTCCATGTGTCAGGTATCCAGGTTGTAGTCATAATGGTCTAGAATAAAAAGGAATTCCATTTGCCTCTAGACCAATATGGCTACAACCTGGATACCTGCCTTACAGCACATACAGGCAGCAGTGGAAACTTTCCCCAGCGACATGCCTTCACTCTGATCTGGAGTATGATCCCTTTAAAAGTCTGTGAAAAAGATGACATTTAATAATGATTACCTTCCTTCCTCAATGACATGTTTCTAGAAAGTGGTATGAGACCACCAACACTATGTACACAGACCTCCAAATTACCCTCAAGATAGACTTGAATCAGTGACCAGAAATGTCACATTGAGTCACACTGCTAAAGACCTGATCTAGCCAATTATTCCCCCCATCCATTCTCCAATAAATTTTCTCCCTCCTTTTACAATTAAAAAAAAAAAAGAATACTCATCACAATACATAACTCAGCAATATTCAAAATACTTAGGTCAGGCAGATGTATCAAAAATTAACTAAGTTTTTCTCCAAAACAAAAACTTGAGGGGACATCTTCCAGTCTTTAAAACAACAAACTTTGTGTCCATTTTCTTAAACATAAAATTCTAGTTACAATAGTAGCCATTTAAATATCTATGTTTGAATTGTGCCTCATTAACCTTAAACTTACTGCAGTTAATATGCCAAAGTAACATTAGCTATTTACAGACAACTTATAACGATATTAAGGGTGGCTACTACGTTCCTATGCAACACATGCCCATTCCGAGAAAACTTATGAAAATTATTTGCTCTCCTCCTACATGGTACAAGAACAAATTGAAATGCACTTTGACCTATCAGATTCCTAATTAAACAAGGATTGTTTTTCTTTAATTCCCTTTATTTTATAATTTACGTTTTAGAAGTTGAGAAAACACAAGCATTTATAAAAACCTTCATACATTTTCATGTTCTATTTGAGTTTTCTTGTGCTCATCTATCAGTTTTAAAACCTCTCTTTATATCTTTTTTATTCTAGTTGCTGGTGATAACAAGAACTTTAACATGGAGGGATAGCAGCACTTAACGAGCTCCTTCCTATGCTTAGTCATAGTTTGACAGGCTCCAGCCCTACTCACTGCAATGCCAGCATCTACACGGCCAGCCTGCAGACAAGCCAGTCAGCACCACGCAACTGGAAGGAGCTTTACTGGTTGGTCTGGAAAGAAGCCCAGAAGCGAAGCCAGGGGGAGAGAAAGGTGGGAGCACTGGCAATGGAGCTGGACACTCTCCTCAAGGCCAGAAGGGACTCAGCATATCCCTCTCCCCATGGCCGAAAGGACCGGGATGCATGCCACATAGCCAGCAGGGAACCGGTAACTCTCCCTGGGGCTAAAGTCCCCAGAACAAGTCTGGAAGCCCAGACTGCTCAGGCAGCACCAGGGATTCAAACAGGTGCCAGTTTGATTGCTGCAGCTGGTGGGCCAAGCAGCCCAGACCTGATACAGTTTTCTGGCACCCATGACAACCCCCACAGGAATATGCAGGTCAGCTGAGGCTGGGATAAAACCTGGCATGAGACACCCCCCACCCCCGGCACCACAAATTCTGGTGGAGCATTTGTGGAATCAGAGGGCCCCAGCAGGAGAGCGGCAGAACCATGAGTGGCATGCAGGTGTGGAGGGACGTGCCTTGCGGCATTACAGTACCTGGTCAGGTAGAACTAGAACCAGAAAGCATGCCCAGAAAGGGGCATCACTGACTTAAGAATGTGGGGGAAAAGGGTGTGCTGGGCACCGAGACACCCACACACCAAAGAAAAGTGCTTTGCAGGGGGGGCATCAGTGCCCTGCCCACCACACCATCCGAGCGCTGAGCTATTTTCGTTGAATTATTGTTAAATTGTGATTTTTGCAACCTTACAGGGCCACAGCCAGACCCCCTGCAGCGGTCATCATCACCAGGCCTCAGCGGAGGAAGAGAAAGCCCCATCACCAGATCTGAGTGTCATCCAGGATGATCCTAAACACGCAAGCAGAAAGGGGGTGGGTGTAGGGGAGGAGCCCCACAGATGTGCCAGCAGAGTTGCCCTGGGTCCTACAGAAACCACTGAACATCACCTCTGGAGGTAAAACCCAGCATAATGAGTCGTGGCAGGCGAACAGACCCAGGTGTGACATAGCCCAGAAGATGGGGCACACACATTGGCTGGTGCAGTAGTCATGAGCCTGTCACACAGTAATTGCAGTTAGACCCTGAACATACAATCCAGTCTGTAAAACCAGTTGCTTTTGTTTATCTACGGAGCGTCCCAAACTGTTAATCTTCTGTAAATGTACCATCGCTTGTTTTTTTGGTTGTTGTAATCAACTCCCATCTGCTTTAATTTAAAAGGTGACAGGACCACCAAAGACATGCAAAACTCTATAACTCTTGGTTCAGAGACAAGACCTTTTATTTGACCAACTAAGACATTGTAAAAAAAAAATAAGATTAAATAAAATAAAAATCTTTTTCTGCAAGCTTTCGGGCTCACACATCCTCCCTTGGGCTCAGGGAAAATTAAAGATGGTAAGAAGTCCTCACAGGTAGGAAATAAGCTTCATTTTTTGTACAGAGGAAGCTGAAGATGGAATTGTCTTTAATTTCCCAAGCCCGAGGAAGGGTGTGCGCACCCGAAAGCTTGCAGAAATATATATATACTTTTTGCGATGTCTTAGTTGGTGTAATCAAAGGTATCAAATCCAAACCACGAGTTCTAGTTTTGCATTTTTGTCTCAGACCAACGCGGCTGCCAAATACCTCCCTGAACCACCAAAGCACGCTGCTGGGGATTTTTCCCAAAAGACCTTTCCATCTACTGCCTAAAAAGAGGCCTGGGTGACCAAACTTAAGAGGACTCGATTTGTAGCTGCGTCCTCTCGCTTCCTGTGACCGTTTCGCACGTCCCCCCAAAACGCTCCGGGTGAAAGCGGGCAGAGAGAGGCACGTTATGTTGGCGTGGGCCTGGCGCTCGGGGGTGAGAGCTCAGTGCTGCTGTTTCCCGGAGCGCCCCGCGCGCAGCCTGGCGACAGGAGCCGGATCACGACTGAGGCGCATCGTCCTGCGGGCGCGGGCGGCTTTGACCCCGGAGCGCGGCGGGCCGGGCCGCTCCCCCCGCGCAGCCCGGTCCC